CACTCTCCAGTGCTGAAGATAACAGAGAGCATAATATTAGCATGAGAGTAAGCATCTGGGCTGAGCGATGGATCAGCAGTTAAGAGTACTTACTGCTCTTTTAAAGGACCCAGGTTCCATTCTCAGAACCCACATGGCACCTCACAAGCGTCTGTATCTGCAGTTCCAGGAGGTCCAATGTTCTCTTCTGACCTCAAATACACACACATGTGCTACATGGGCATAGATACGATGCAGGCAAACACCCACACACATAAAATAAAAATAAACCATAGCATCTTTGCTTTTAAAAGTAAACCAATGGATCAATAGAGTAGAATTCAGAATCAAAAATAAATCTTCGGTGGCTAGGGCTGTATCTCTGTAGAGGCAGACGCTTGACCAGCATATGTGAGGCCATTGCTTCAATACCCTGTCCAATAAATAAATTAATAAATCTCCACATTTGCGATCGATTAATATTTGCAGAAATTCAAAACTTAATTCTATAGAGAAAGAATAATTTTGTTATAATATGGTGCTGGGGTGAGATGTGGGGCACACATATGTAATCCCAGTGCTCCAGAGATAGAGGAAGAAAGGTTAAGAGTTCAAGACCATCCTCAGATACACAATGAGCTTGAGGCCAAGCTTGGGTACATGAGTCTCTGACCTCAAAATAACAACAAAGATCCCCAAATACAAATTATGCCCCCATACAGAAGAACAACAGTTGAGTCCTGGACTGGGGTCTGGAGTGGGTATATGGCTCAGTGGGAGAGCACTTACCTAGCATGGTCAAGGCCATGAGTTCTATCCACAGTACCCACACCTAGAGTTGGAGGTGGTTTTGAGTCCTATTATATATCATATACAAAATTTAACTTAAGTGGGTCAATGTAAGAACTAAAACACATACAACTTGTAAAACTATAAGCTATATTAGGTCTCCCATCTCCCACGCTGTGGACAGAACCTAGGGCTTTGTGTATGCTAAATAAGCACTCTGCATCTGAACTACATCCCCAGCTCCTAGTCTTGGATTTGACAGTGGTTTCTTAGATATGGCACCGACAACATAAGCAACCAAAGACAAAAATAAATTGGGTTTATTCAAATTTTAGTATATTTTGTAGCTGGCTGGTGGTGCTGCATGCCTTTAATCCCAGCACTTGGGAGGCAGAGGCAGACAGATCTCTATGAGTTCAAGGCTAGTCTGGTCAACAGAACAAGTTCCAGAACAGCCAGGCCTGCTACACAGAGAAACCCTGTCTCAAAAAAAAAAAAAAAAAAAAGAAAACATTTTCTTTTTATTGTACAGCAGTTTCCTCCAAAGTCTTGTTGGGACCCAAGAAGTTCTAAAGGAGGAAATTCTAAAGGGAAGCTTGTTAAGACTCAGAAAGGAAACAACTCAAGAGTCCCAGGAAGTCCCTGAAACTAAACAGTTGCACAAGGTCTATTTCTACCCATGGAGCTAGAAGACGTAAGAATTGCTGAGAAGACACAAGATGAGCTGCCTGCAGCTTTGAAGAGCCATCATCCATGCAGGAGATGACTTTTGGTCTCTGCAGTAGTCACTTGTTGTTGTAGGAGCCCGCGTGTTGGTTCCCAGCTGCTCAGCCCCGAAATAACCACACAGAAACTGCATTAATTAAATCACTGCTTGGCCCATTAGCTCTAGCTTCTTATTGGCTAGATTTTACATCTCAATTTAACCCATTTCTATTAATCTGTATCGCTGCAGATTAATAGTGGCTTACCGGCAAAGTTTTGGGATGTCTGTCTCTGGTGGCGGCTCCATAGCTTCTCCTTCTTTCCACCTCCTTTCTCCCAGCATTCAGTTTAGTGTTCCCTGCCTAGCTAAGTTCTACCCTATCAGGCCAAGCCAGTTTCTTTATTAACCAATGGTATTTACAGCATACAGACGGGAATCCCACATCAACTTGTCCATTACTATGATAAAATATCATGATCAAAGTAACATATAAAAGAAGGGGTTTGTGTGCTTACATACGTAGAGGAAGAAGAGTTCATCCCTGGCACAGTGGGGAAGCTTGGCAGAGAGCAGGCATGATGACTGGAGCAGCAAGCTGAGAACTCACATTTCAAACCACAAGCATGCAGCAGAAAGAGTGAACTAAGAACGTGCCTTTTTTTTTTTAATTTTATGTGCATTGGCGTGAAGATGTCAGGTCTCAAGGAACTGGAGTCATAGGCAGTTATAGGCTGCCATGTGGGTGCTGAGAATTGAACCTAGGTCCTCTGGAAGTGCAGCCAGTGCTCTCAACTGCTGAGCCATCTCTACAGCATGGCTTTTAAACCCTAAAGCCCAACCCCAGAGACATACTTCTTCCAGTAGTCCTTACCTCCTAAACCCACCCAAGCAGCACCACCACCTGGGGGGATCAAGTATTAAAACATCTGAGCCTATGGGGCCATTCTCATTCAAACCACCACAGTGATGCAGCTGTCTTTGAGTCACTTCTGTTCCTGTAAGTAACCTCACCAAGCTAGACTTCAGCAGTGTTCTTACTTTGGCTATCATTGGTTCTCTGCTTGGGGTCAGTAGGCATTTGTTCACTCTATTTCAGGACTAGTGTCCCATGAATGACACTATGACATGATAAAAATGCCTTTGCCCCACCAAGCAAGATCAGATGACACAAATGAGCCACACTCCCGAGTGACTGCCACCTGCACAAGGCTCACTGACAGCTCAAGGTGGTCCTGAATGGCAGCTTTGAGGGTGGGAGAAGTTCCCAAGGACATGGCTTCTACTGAGTGCTCTGTCATCTTCTACATGAGGAGAAATACAAGGGAAGGGGGGCAAGGCCACGGGCAGTGAAGGAGGGAGATACGTCAGACATCACAGAGGGCTTCCTGCCCCTGGCCTCACTGTCCCATTCTGAGCAGAACTTCAGTTTAAGTGGGAGTAGTAGGCCACCTTGTGCCCCTGGGCATTGTAGTGGGTGTAGGCACAGGTTTTCTCTATGGTTCTATATGAAGTTCTGCTAGACAAGGTTTCTACATCCAAAGGAACAATGGGAGATTTGGAGCTGTGGCAGCCATTCTATAACCACAAGGCAGACTGAAAGGTCACACACAGTTAGAGATACTATCCCTGAGCCTCTCAGATGAACACACTCTGAGATTCTGTGGCAGAAATGAGCCAGCAAGGTCCATCGCTTCAAGTCCATGGCATCCTCACTGGTACTAGAGCAGTCGGCAGAGGAACCTAAAGGAAGGGTCGGGGAGGTGAGGAAGGTTGAGTGGGTAAGTTGGCTACAATGACAGCTAATGTTCCTGGGGCCTCACCCCTGTGTCCAGGGGAGTTCTGACACCTCACACCTAGCAACTGCCTAAACCCTAGGAACAATACCTTTTTTGGAGACAGTGTCTCACCATGTACCCCAAAGATCTGTCTGCCTCTGCCTCTCAAATGCTGGAGTTAAAAGTACCATAATACCAGGGCTGGAGAGATGGCTTAGTGGTTAAGAGCATTGCCTGCTCTTCCAAAGGTCCTGAGTTCAATTCCCAGCAACCATATGGTGGCTCACAACCATCTGTAGTGAGATCTGGTGCCCTCTCTGGCCTGCAGGCACACATGTAGGCAGATATTGTATGCATAATAAATGAATAAATAAAAAAAATTAAAAAAAGTACCATAATACCAGACCTTTGGCTTTTTGTGGGAGTTTTTTTTTTTAAAGACAGATCTCAGGGGTTGTAGAGATTCAGTGGTTAAGAGCACTGACTGTTCTTCCAGAGGTCCTGAGTTCAATTCCCAGCAACCATATGGTGGTTCACAACCATCTGTAATGAGATCTGGTACTCTCTTCTGGCCTGCAGGCATACATACAGAACACTGTATACTAAATAAATAAATAGATAAATAAATAAATAAATAAATCTTTAAAAAAAAAAAGACAGGTCTCACCAGACTGGTCTTCCCCTCTTGCCTCAGCCCCTGGAGTCCTGAGATCCTGCAGATGACAGACCTGCCTCACATGTCTCAACATTTATCCCCTTAAGAACGACTCTTGACAGTTGTTGGTCAGTATTATGACACTGGACAACCCAAGGAAGGAGCCTGTGGAATGTCACACAGCCAGGAAGAGAAGTGAAGCGGTCTATTGCTCTGTCCTCTAAGACACACAACGGATTTTCAAAGATCAAAAGCAAAGTGTCTTAAGCAAAGGGCCAGAGGTCCACAGCTTCGTAATTGACAAAAGCGTAAATTGGGCACTGGTCTCTGCTGGGAAGAATGGTGGGCAGAGGTTATATTGTAAGGCAGAGCAGAACTGGCCTGGGCGAAGAGTAGAGGAGGAGCATGTGAAACAGCTCTTTGGCAGTGTGGCATGAGGGGGACATCGATGTTTGAGGGGATCACGGCAAGGGTGTCAGGGGTCTTCTAATACGGGAGGTAACAAGAAGACGGGCTTTAGACAGGGTTAAAAAAATCCTTCTAGATCCTAGAAAGAACGCACAGAATTAGTGACTCTCCCAGCATTCGGAAGACAAGGAGTAGATGAATCTCTGTAAGTTCGAGGCCAGCCTCGACTTCCCATCCTGGAGACGGTATTTTGCTACAGGAAAATCAGACCTGGGCTCCAAGTGAGCAATAGCTGTGATGTGGGATGACCTGACTGCCAAGGGCGCTGGGCTCACTCGAAGTAGGGGAGGAAATTTGGATTCCAGGAATCTGCTCCACTTTCATGAGTGGCGACAGAACCAGGAAAGTCATAAGTAGAGCAGAGGCGGGAACCCTGTGCGCTCAGAGGTCTCCAGGGTGCTGGCATCCAGTAGGCAACTGAGCCATAGGAGACAATGTGGGCTCCTGACCACTCCTTTCCCTCCAGCTCTGGACATGGGAAAGCGCAGGGTTCCCTCCTGTCGTCGCGGCTCCCTGCACCCAGACGGAGTGGCTCTCCCTCCTCCGTGCCCGGGGATTAGCTCTCTGAGAACTGGCAACGGGATTAGCACACGCGAAAGCGGCGCCCGGCCCGGGGATTACCGCACCTCCCACCCCCGACGTATAAATTCGGTTGCTCGCGCCAGCGGCCCGCGGGCATGGCGACTGCAGGCAGCGCGACGAGCCGCAGGGACCCTGGACGACCCTGCCCTTTTTCCATCGAGCACATCCTCTCCAGCCTGCCGGAACGCAGGCCCGCAGCACGGCCACAGCAACCCGTCGGTGACCGGAACCCCGCTGAGCCCGACGAGCCCGAGGCGCCTGCCGCCGCTGCGCCCTGCACCTGCTGCTGTTGCTGCGGCCCGCGAGCAGCACCCCGCGGAGTACCGGAGGCGGCGTCCACACCCGGTGAGTGTGAGCGGCGGAGCGAGGCTAGCCCCGGGATCTCGCAGGGCGGCCGGTGGGGCGAGCTTGGCTCCCACCCTAACCCTAACCCTAACCCTAGGTCTGACCGCACCCTCGCCCCGCCCCGCCCCGCCCCTCCCCGCAGGAGTGCGGCTAGCGTGGCCGCTGAGACTGGCGTCGGCGGCGCCCTCGCCCCTGACAACGCCGAGCACAGGCTCGCCGGCTCTGACCGGCACGAGCGGCCAGGGCCCGCAGAGGCGCACACGGCGCCACCGAACCATTTTCAGCGAGGAGCAGCTGCAGGCGCTCGAGGCGCTCTTTGTACAGAATCAGTATCCCGACGTGGGCACACGCGAGCGCTTGGCTGTCCGCATCCGCCTGCGGGAGGAACGCGTGGAGGTGGGTGTCCGCCCCGCAGCCCGGAGGCCAACTCTGGCGCCACACTTCTCTTTCAAAGACAGACCTTCCAGGCTGGGGAGGGGGGTGTCATCTCCTAGCTCTCCACGCTGAAGGGAAACCCCCCAGGATCAGTGGATGGGGGCACAGGACCAGTTCCTGTATCAGGTTTTTTGGGTGTCGCCGAAACTGGAAGGCATTAAGAATTTTTTTCTCTGACTTCGTCTGTCTTCCCCGTTTCCCCTATTGAAGAGAGACGCATACATTCATACCCCGATGTGGGAAAGTTAAGACGTGTGCAAAACTAGCCAGGCATGGTGGCACACGTCTGTAATCTCAACATTCGGGGAGGTGGAGACAGGAGGATCACTTGTTCATCAGAGTCATCCTTGACACATAGCGAGTTAGAAGCCAACCTAGATTACTTAGGACTTTGAGAGAGGGAGATAGATCCTGGTTGCTACTGGGCCAAGGCTGGGGAGACTAGGAAATCTCCATGTAGGAGGTCTTGATTCTTTTCTTTGTGTGGCTAAGGGAAGTGACGCAGGTCCATTCACCTACACCTCTGTGGTGTAGCCTACCACCTGGCACGCCTATCAGTCCTTCCGAAGTTCTTTGAGTGTGAGTCCATGGATTCTGAGCTGTCCTGGTCTCCTTCCTCCTCAGGTCTGGTTCAAGAACCGCCGGGCCAAGTGGCGACACCAAAAGCGTGCTTCATCATCAAGGCTCCTGCCTGGAACCAAGAAACCTCCCAAGGAGAGCTGTTGATGGTGTCTGGAGTTTCTCCTGGCTTTGGCAGTGACTTGGAGCACGACAAAGTAGGAGGGAGACAGAGCTACTTGCACAGAAACTAAGAGAGGACAGCATCCTCTTCCATGGTTCTCTTTCAGTGTCCGCCTGGCCAGTGCTGGGAGAGAGGGGATCCAAGACCTCTTCACCTATGACAGGAGGGCACATGGGGGCAGGAACCAGAGAGCTCCTGCAGGTAAAGTGCAAACAGAGCAGGTCAACTTCCTCGGGCATCATTACCACCTAGAGAGGCCCTAACTCCATCCAGGACCCCAAATCCTCTCCAGTGGAGCCCCCCTGTCTCCAGGGCTGCCCCAGTATCTAGTCTTCCACTTTCTGAGCAGGGCAGTGGTATCTGCACAATCCTGGGCTTATTCTGTCCTCCAAGGTCCTACACTGGACCTGTGTCAGGCCCTGTGGGATAAGGAGGCTGCGGTTGGTATGTTCCAGATCCCCACACCCACTCCTTCATCTGAGCCTTGTGCTATTACCAAGAAATAAACAAGATCTACAAATACCACCAGACAGTCCAGGACCCCAAGTCCTTGTTTCAGGCTTCATTTCCACACCTATTGAGGAGCTGGCTCCCCTCCCCATTTCCAGGGAACTAGAGGATCAGAATGTCTTGGCGAGCACAGCTCAACAAGTCCTCAGTTCTAGTACCATGTTTGCCCCACCAGAAGTGAAGCCAGTGGATGGTAGCAAGGCCTCCTGGGATTTGCTATGCCTTCTGGGTACTACCAACCTGCTTCCCAGATGGGAGATCTTTAGCCACTTGCCCCCAGGAGGTTTCCATACAGTGGCAGCTGCCAATAGGGTGGGCAAGAGGAGATTAAATTCAGGGAACATCCCATCCCCACTACCTTGGGGAATGTTTGTCCTTCTATAATCCTGGTCACACAGAAGTGTGCAGGATACTACAGCATAAAAGCACGGCTTCCATCACCTGCTGACCTGTGCAGTGGGCTGGAGGCAGCTGACATCCCCTACACCTGTCCTGATCTCCTTGCTCTGTCCCCTTACAGGTTCTGAAGGGTGTGGTGGTGTCTGCGAGAGATGTGGTCCATCCATGGAAGCTAAACTGTAGAGCTAATGGCAGAAAATCTTGACACCGTGTACAGATGGCTGGTTTAGCCGGGCAGTGGTGGCACACACCTTTAATCCCAGCACTGGGGAGGGGAGGCAGAGGCAGGCGAATCTCTGTGAGTTCAAGGCCATCCAAGTCTACAAGACAGGCTCTAAAGCTACAGAGAAACCTGTCTCAGAAAACAAAACAAAACAACAACAAAAAAGATGGCTGGTTTGGAAAACACTGAGCAGGCATGTATCCCCAGCCAGGGCTGTCCTAACACTACCAGAGACCTCCAGGATGGGGACTCCCTTCCTCAGTCCCTCAGATGCACACTTGGGGCTGCCACCAGACTTTTCTTCCTGAAGTTTGGCCTTGCCTTAGAAGATGGCGCTGTCTAGCTTCAGACACAGTAGTCTAGGAGGTCAGCTCACCTGCAGGCTTGGACATTCACATTGTGCTGAGTTCCAAGCCCCTGTCCTTCTTGGTTATTCAGAATCAGAGTTTGCCTGAGTTTCGGCCCTCCTCTCGTTGTTACCATCCCCTGCAAAAGCTCCTCCCATCCCTCACCTGATGCCTGGCCTTAGCAAGTGTCCAGAGACTCCATCTCAAGGCCTCTCCCATCTTCATTCTCTTCTTTAAAAAAATCGTGTGTGCCTGCGTGTGTGTGTGTGTGTGTGTGTGTGTGTGTGTGTGTTGCCTGAATGTATGCATGTGCATGATTTGTTTGCCCATGATGGTGGAGGTCAGAAGAGGGTATTGATTGGAACCCCTGGAATTGCAGTTGTGAGCCACCGGGTAGGTACTAGGAACTGAACCCCGATTCTCTGGAAGAGCAACAAATGATTTTAAAGGATGAACTATCTCTACACCCCTCTCCATTCTCTTCTTGCTGTATCTTTTCCACCCTTGGGCTCCAATCCCACCTCTTTGTCACATGTATTTCCACCTCCAGTCCAGGCCTCTCCCCTGAGCTAGGGATTTGTCGATCTGTTTCCCTGACAATACTTGGAATCCACAGCCTCACATTCGCCTTGTATACAATGATCCATTTCCATGTTCACGTCCTTGTTTAAGGCACATGAATCCCGGAGTTCCTGATCAGCAATTGCTCTCTGTTCCTCACCTAGTCACACCAAGGCCTTCCAATGCCGGCTCTAAATATGTCAATAAAGCCTAGGAACTAGCGTCTCTGCAGCTTCAGCTGCGCAAACCTGATGAAAACTGTCGTCACCTTGCACCATGACCATTACAACTGTCTCTAGTTATGTTCACCTGAACCCAATCTGGCCTCCCTTTCAAAATGAAAATGTTTCTTGCCAAGACCCCAAAGATACTGTGCAGCCCAGCTCTGCCCCTCTGCTGTCATATCCTTCACTGCACTGTGTAAAAAACGCCTACTTTGGGATTTGCCTTGCTCCATCCTAGCCTGGGCCTCTGCACAAGCCTCTCCAGTGCCACTTGACTGAAGCCTGTCCATTCATCTTGGACTGTGACCACGATTTATGACCACATTTTGCCTGGGGAAAATGTCGCTTGATATGCCCTGTGCTGAAATCAAGATTCTCTGAGTACAGACTTCTTGCAAGTCACAGGCATGATTTTACACATTTGCAGGATGACTTAATGTGTGTTTCTCTATTATTGTGGTCAACTCTATAGGGGCAGGGACATAGCCATAAAGTCCCCAGTGACTCCCAATGAAGGAAGAGATCATTGGAAAAGCAAAATTGTACCAAATCATTCTGGGCTAGAACTTGTTTGGCATAATTCACGATGTCTCTTAGGATGGAAGTCCCGTGAATCCTGTCAGTGAGTACAGGCCTCTTTTGGAAAGCCCTCCCTGGCAGGCAGGGGACTAATAAATCTAACCAGAATTTAAGTGCCCTCTCGTTCTTTCCTTTCATTTACCTTTTGTTAGATAATCTGGGAAGAAGAATTGTCTTAGTGTTCTTTTTTCTGAATTTTGAAGTTATATATGATTTTTGAAGTATTTAAAAACTCCTTTGAAACATATGCAGTGGTTTTTTGTTTGTTGTTTTTGTTTTTTGGGAAAAAATGGAACTTCTAACAGAAGGACTATGGCGTCAAATAGTCGTCCCACAGCGCCCCCTAGTGACCATAGTCTAGACAGGCACGAGCAACGCGGACGGGACTCAAAGACTACAAGTCTCTTAAGATCCGGCGCTCCCAGTGACATCATTTGGAGCGCCGGCTTTGTTATAAAAATACTGCTTCTCCATTGGCTGGCTGTTGATGTTGCCTACGCCGCCCGAGCGGTTCTGGGATAGCTATGGGGACGCCCGGGTCCTCGGCCGGCCCTCTGTTTCTGCCCTCCGCGTCCGCGCCCCCGAGGAAGCGCGCGGCTGGGGAGGCCGGGGTTGCGAGAAGCAAGCAGCGGGTTCTGGATGAAGAAGAGTACATCGAGGTACTAGCTCAGTGCGAGCGCTGGCGACTTTCGGGCCCCTCCCCCGATTCGCGTTCCTCCCCCAGTCCTTTTTCTGGTCCTGGAACTCTCAGCCGCCTGTGGAATAACTGCCTTTGGGTTTGGAAAGTCTTGAGACCCAAGGAAACAGTGCAGGAGCGGGTGTCCAGTTTTCAACGAAAAGTTGGAGTTGTCTGTTGAGGGTCAAGGAAATTAAGTTTCCTGTTAAAGTATGGGTAGATTTTGACACGTTTTTAGGGTGATGGCGAAAAGGACTTTCTGGAAGGCAACGACTTTAAGCGTAAAGGCTGGGGGTCCTGGAAATAGACCGGCGGTAGTGGCCGTGTTATTGAGTGAGGGTCTTGGTTGCTCGTCTAGTTAGGGAGTAGGGGTCCCACTGCAAACATGCTGGAGGGCAAGCTGACATAGGTCTAGTTTTAGACTGGTTAAATTTAGGACACTTCTGGGATATGCCAGCATGTGTCCTCGCCACGCAGCTGGGTATACAGATTTGCAGCTCCACAGCAAGGTCTGGCTGAAGGCGAAACCTTGCGAATTTCATCCGGTGGTGGCCGTAGTGGTAATTGGCTTTCAAGAGAAAGGTTTGGATTGAAATAAAATCCAATGTGGAATGAGGATGGCAACATCCATATTAGTCCGACTGGTGTTGTAGATGGCGCCAGCAAAGGAGAACGAGAAAGATCAGTTAGTGAAGGATTTTATGGGCATCAAGAGGTTGTTCAGTAATGTTAGGTAATCAGAGCCATATGAGATGGACTACCTTGCTAGAAAATGCTTCTAAACCATCTTGCAAACCGCAGTTATCCAGATAGGCAGAAGTGAAAAGCCCTTAGGGCCTAACATGGATACTGGTGTCAAGGCTCCCAGATGCCAGCTCTGGCCTTTGTTCTGATTGCTTATGATAGGGACTCCAGACAGTCATCCAGAGAGATTTCTTCCCTGATGTGGAGAAGCTGCAGGCACAGAAGGAATACTTGGAGGCTGAGGAAAATGGAGATTTGGAGCGTATGCGCCAGATTGCCATCAAGTTTGGCTCTGCTCTGGGCAAGATATCTCGGGAACCTCCACCACCCTGTAAGAGGATGCCACTATACAAGGGCATAGAGGGAAGTCTGTTGTCACTTTAGACTTGCTCTAATTTCTAACTTGCTTCCCTCAGATGTTACTCCAGCCACCTTTGAAACTCCTGAGGTACACGCAGGCTCTGGTGTGGTGGGCAGCAAGCCCCGGTCGCAGGGCCGGGACCTAGATGATGGTGAGTGAGCTCACTCTCTTGGTCTCATGGTCGAGAGTGCTTGGGAACCATATTGAGTTTTCTCAGGACCACATTTCATCCGTGAGGGGTCTCCTAAACTAAGTATCAACTTTTGGGATCAAAGCCTGGTGTGGGAAGCAGAAGTTCTGTCCAGCTCCCAAGTGTGTAGGAGCAGTGTTCTATGCCTGTCTCTGGAATGAGAGCCCATCACTGTCACCAGCCTGTTCAGTGTGCCAGCCTTTGCCTTGTAGGGTCTGTGGGCTTGGAAAACTCTTTCATTACTGACTCCTGAAGATGCCTTAGGCCCCTTCCTTCCGCGTCGGTTGCTGCTTGTGTCTCTTCCTTCTGGTCCGTATTCAGGTGTTACCTGTTTGGGCTAAAAGGCAGAAACTTGTGGACGTTGAGGTTCCTGATCTTTTGTGTAAAGTTGGAACACCCTAGGGCTCTTTACCTCACAGCTTGCCTTTGCTTCTCTGATTTTTTTTTGGTTGAGACCAGAGTCTCACTGTTTGCCACACTGCTGGCTTTATGTTTCACTGCAGGACGTAACATTTCAGAAAGTGTTTCTTGTTTGCTTCTCACCCTAACTACTAATTCGAATGCCCTCCCAGAGAGCAGGGTCATGGTCTTGCTCCCATCAGAGGGCCCCACATTTGGATTAGCACATGGTGTGCTGTACATCCACAGACATGTAGAACAGGTGAATGTGCTGTCTTCGACATGTTTCCTGAGCACCGAATATACGCATGGGATATATCTTAAAGTCAGGAGGAACACTTTATAGATCTCTTGACTATGTGTGTGTTCCACATCCTAAGGGTCTTGTCTGGGTTGGTTGATCTTTTATCGATAATAGGATTTATCACTAGAGGTGGGCAAGATGCTTCTCTCCAGGCTCCAGTCTGCCGCATACCGTACCAGGGCGGATGTACAGCTGCTCACTTGAGCATAGCTTCTCCACAGCCCCGCTTTTTCTGCCATGGACAGTAGTCATTACCCTTGGAGCTTGATCCTTGATGGAAATACAGTAGTCACAGGGCGATCTGAAGATGCTCTTCTTCTTTTTTTAATTAGAGTAGACAATTTTTTAAAAATCTTTTTTAAAATTTATGATTTATTTATCTTTATTTTATGTTCATTGGTGTGAAGGTGTCAGATCCCCTGGAACTGGATTTTCAGACAGTTGTGAGCTGCCATGTGGGTGCTGGGAATTGAACCCGGGTCCTCTGGAAGAGCAGTCAGTGCTCTTAACTGCTGAGCCATTTCTCCAGACCCCGATGCTCTTCTTTTTACACATATATTTTACCAGTAAAATTGGAGTTCTTGTAATTACATGTAAGGAAACAGGCTTCGAAAGACTGTAACTTCTGTCGGTATCAGGAATAGTCAACAGTTGAGTGCTTTTGAACTTGTAGCCACTGTGTTTGGCACTGGCTGGCACACAGATAGTAGTTCAGTCTGTTAGAATGGATGAGAAACCTCGGCCTCACATGCCGCACCCTTGAGATTTTCAGTGCTACCTCTACAGGAAAATCATTTGCCTTGGTAGCAGGGATCAAGGGGCTTTTGTGGCCCAGAGTCTGTGTGGCCCTCCCTGGAGCACTGGGTCATATGGCTCCTGCCTTAGGAATGAACTTGATACCATGATGCATAGTGACCACTGTCACTTCCTGTAACACCAGCCAGGAAGGGAAAGGTAGTTAGGACAAGGCAGTCCCAGGAAGGAAAGAAGAACCCTTGGGGCTTTGGAGGTCAGTCCTCCAGGGTTAGTACAGTCTGGGCAGAGGAAGAGGCTGCTAAACTGTCATCATGAGCTCTTGCTTCAGTGTTTGTCCCTGCCCCTTCACCAGTCACCCAGATCACAGACTTCTTTTGGCATCTAGCAGATGAATGGAGCTGGCCAGGCAGCTATGGGTGCCACTTGGGGCTGCCTGAATACTTGAGTTTGCTGTGTCACCTAGCAGGAGTCAG